TGGGAACGGGATGCCCCCGGGGAGGACGGACACAAGATGACGGGTTCCCCGGGGCCGGGGCGGCCTCCCCGTTCGCCAGGCGGTGGGAGGGTGGCAAAGCCGGGCGGGAGGCAGGGGAGAAGGGGCTGGTGACGGGAGAGGACAGGGAGTACAGAGCCGTCTGGAAGCACCGCATCAGCTGCAGGAAAACGTGCAGCGATTCGATCAAATGAATCGGAGGAAAACCGGAGAAGAGCAGAGACTTACAGCGGGATTGAAATATGGGGTTTGGCATGGAGGGGTTGCCTGGTGTGGTGCAGAGCTTTGAGGTGACCCTGCAGGAGCTTGGAAAGGCCATTTTGCTTTAAATGACCTAGAAGCCATAGAAAAGCAGTTTGACTGGAAGTTTATTTATTGCCTGCATTTGATCTGCTCCCAGCTAAAACAGCCCTCTTGTCCCACCTTTCAGTTTCTCCTGAAGTCCTGCAGGCACTGCTCTTCAGGAGTCCTCCCCAATGAGAGGATCCGCAACATTGGGATCTCGGCCCACATCGACTCGGGGAAGACGACGTTGACGGAGCGAATCCTCTTCTACACGGGCAGGATAGCGCAGATGCACGAGGTCGGTTTTCAGAGGGCTCCAGAGCAGGGCTGCTCTCAGTGGGCTGAGCGTGATGAGCACCACTGCAATGTTGCTGTGACTTATTCGTCTGGAGGAGTCCTAAAAATCTACTGGTTTCCCTGATACCTCTTTAAAAATAAGTAGAGGGCAAGGGGATAGAAAGTAACCCCTCCTTCGCTGCGGTGTCCCCCCTCTTTCAGAACACTTCAAATCTTATTTCAAGTCTTACTTCTCCCTTACCACCTCCATGGTAAATATACGACAGAAGATAGATGTTTCTTCTGATGTAGTCAGAGATGACTGTGAGAAGCAGAAAATACAGGGATGTAATTTGTCGCTTCGGGTACGTTAGCTTGTTAAATTCACAGTGAAGCGTAATTCCTGCAGATTTCTGAGAACTTTTTTCAGGAATGACCCTCAGGAGAGCAAAACGCATTAACGTTGCAGATGAAGCTGCAAAAAAAAGATAATGAAACTTTGTAGTTCAAGAATTATAAGTGATTCTGCCGTGTCTGCTGTCCTTCACCGTGAAGGATGATACACAGTATATAAAGCATCGCTCCTGCACATGCAAAATTCTTAGGAAACTCCTCCAGACTACATTTTTATTCTTTTTATTTTTTCCTAAGGTGAAAGGTAAGGATGGGGTTGGAGCTGTCATGGATTCAATGGAGCTGGAGCGACAGCGCGGGATCACAATTCAGTCTGCAGCAACGTACACCATGTGGAAAGACACCAACATCAACATCATAGACACGCCAGGTAACGACAGTCCTGAGTGCGTTACGATTGCTGTTCCCTCACGTATACAGAGAGCATGGCTGTGTTCATTTCATCTTGTGTTCATTACTCACTCAAGTTGTGCTAAGAGGACTTTTTCTGGAGGCTGATTATGTTGGCTGTTGCTCCTTTCTGCAGCTATGAGAAAGCAATTGCTCGTTACCTCTTACCATGTATAATTAATGGGGTTTTTTTGTTACTCAGGACATGTGGACTTCACAATTGAAGTGGAGAGATCTCTGCGAGTGCTGGATGGAGCTATTCTGGTTCTCTGTGCTGTTGGAGGAGTTCAGTGCCAGACGATAACGGTGAACAGGCAAATGAAGCGTTACAGTGTGCCCTTCGTAACGTTCATCAATAAACTGGACAGACTGGGCTCTAGTCCAGCCAGAGCAGTACAACAGTTGAGGTATTTATCACTTACAATTAGTTGTGCAACAATTCTGAACTATTCACGTAGCAGATTAATACTGAGAATATTGAAAAGCATTCTCTTGTGGCGTCTGTAGTTTGAAGGATAATACCTGACTTGAGGTTAAATCTTAATCTGACCTCTAACAGCTCTCCATTTTCTCAAGAAAAATGCCAGTGTCAGCCCAGGCTTGCAGTGCCTGAGAGCTGGGGTTTTGATCCTTATTTTGGTGATGGAAACATATTTGGAGCCACTTTGAAAGCAGCCTTTTCATTTTCGCTAGATCCTGGTAGCAAAGGTGGTGGAGCTCACAGCAGGGAGATGACACGGGGTTGGACAGTTGCTAGTTCAGACACCACAAGTCCTGCTTGCTTCCTACCTGCAGTCTTTCTGTGCCTAATTTAATCAGTGAGATACGTGCATTAATATGCGCGAAGGGAGAAGCAGCTCCCATAATCAAGTAATTAATCAGAAACCAGTTTGCACCACTTTCTTTCCCATGAAAGTTGCTCAGGGTGTCTGTTGGGATATCAAGGGCTGGCAGTCACTTGTGTTAAAATGCAACTAGGACCTTTTCATCAGCATTGGGGTTTTTGGCACTGTCCAAAGATAGGGATTTTGTAGGAGTGGGATGTTGTTCAGAGGCCATCTGGAGCACATCTATAGAAATGAGTTGGGTTTTTTTAAAAAACTAATACATACTTGTTCACTTCTCCAGATCCAAGTTGAAACACAACGCAGCTTTTGTTCAGATTCCAATTGGGCTGGAGGGAAACTTTAAAGGAATTATAGATCTGATTGAAGAAAGAGCGATATATTTTGACGGTGCGCTTGGGTAAGTTGTGAAACTTGCATGTCTTTTAGCTGGAGCCACTCTGTGAGGGAGCGGTGGGCAGCTGCAGCCAGCGGGAATTGTTTGCTAACCACAGTAGCGCGGAGGGGCGGTAGCCACGCTTGCCACCCTGAGAAATAGGAGACTTGCTTCGTAACGGGAACTGATAGTGAATGTTGGGATGAAGATAAGATGTGGGTGAGGCTGTTGAGCAGGTTGTCCTACATCCTTGCAAGCTCCTGCCATGAGAAAAACCTTCTCCTGCTTTTGTGAGAGATAACACATCGATATTCTGACGTGATTTCTTTCCAGTGTCCGTGTCAGCAGTGAGTTCTTGTTGGTCAGGCCGGTCAAGCAATGATGAGCGATGGAAAGGTTGGTTCATGTGGTATTCCTGTGGAGTGCTGATGTTGTTTACGTGTGTAGGGAGACTCTCCGGTATGATGAAATTCCGGCTGAGTTCAGAGCAGAGGCTGCAGAGCGACGTCGGGAGTTGATCGAGTGCGTCGCCAACTCGGACGATCAGCTCGGGGAGCTGTTTTTGGAAGAAAAGATTCCTACAGCTGCTGAGTTAAAGGTAACTTCCTTGTGGTGGCTTTTCCTGTAGCAAAGTTTTCTCGCTCTTTTGTGTCCCTGTGCTCCCCCGCCCCAATAAAAAATTCCTTGAAATCTCTTCCTTGTGGTGGCTTTTCCTGTAGCAAAGTTATCTCGCTCTTTTGTGTCCCTATCCTCCCCCGCCCCAATAAAAAAATCCTTGAAATCTTGAAGAAATGTCTTTTGCTGGAGTTCTCTGGTACGAGTGTCCCATGGGGGGACTCCCGCTTCAGGTCCCTGCTGAGAGCCTATTCCAGATTTGGCTTGTGATTTGCATTGGAGAGCCTGAGCTTGTGCGTGCACTTTAGGGACCAGCAAATGGCTCAAAGGAGCATCTTGTCACTTTTGTCACTTTTGTCACTCTGTTGGCTGGCTTGATGGCTGTGACTTGGGTTATGTTCCACAGCAAGTCGGTTGTTGAGGTGCTGTAAGTCGTCTCTGTGCCTGAAGTCCTGCCTTGTTCCGTATTGGCACCGATGACATCCCAAGTGCAAAGAGCAGTACACTAGAAGGGAACTGGAATGACTTTGCTTGGAGACTCCAGAGAAAAAGAATCCAGGTCAAAATAGTGTAAAAAAAACCAGAGAATTGCATTTAGGCTGTTTTATGCTTGGCTACCTACCCGTACCACAGCGGGTTGTTACGTGGGACGGCCGTGCCTTCTTTAGTGTTTGTAGTTGACTGATGATGCTTCTCGAGTTACCGTGGTGGCATTCACTTCAGCCAGGACAGGTGCAAAAGCTCAGCTTAGCCCAGTGTGAGCGTAAGAGCCCACGCCTCATGTGGACCTGCTTCTGTTGAGCCGTGAGCGTAGAGATGACCTGAGGACACTTATCCTTGGAGGAGAGGTGCTAAGCTGGTTTGCATTTGCCGCACAGCCCCGCGGGGTGGGTTTGTAACTGGAGACACAGCAGGCCCTGCGCTCCGTGTCCTGGCAGCACAGGGGAACCACGCCGAGGGATTTATGGTTTGCAGGCCTGATCCCAGCGTGGTTGGGTTTTGCCCTTAATGCACACTGGGTGCAGGGATTTGTGTGATGTGTTGTGATGTTCGTCACCACCTCTTGCTAGTGGTGGAAGTCCACTTGAGCAGTAATCTTCCAGTGCCCGCTGTTAATAGTTATTAATTAGTCAAACATCAAAACTGCTACAGGAAACCAGTTGCTTGATTACAGAATCACAGAATCACAGCACGTTAGGGATTGGAAGGGACCTCAAAAGCTCATCCAGTCCAATCCCCCTGCCGGAGCAGGAACACCCAGATGAGGTTGCACAGGAAGGCGTCCAGGCGGGTTTTGAATGTCTGCAGAGAAGGAGACTCCACAACCTCTCTGGGCAGCCTGGTCCAGTGCTCTGTCACCCTCACTGAGAAGAAGTTTCTTCTCAAATTTCAGTGGAACCTCCTGTGTTCCAGTTTGTGTCCGTTACCCCTTGTCTTATCATTGTTTGTCACCGAGAAGAGCCTGGCTCCATCCTCGTGACACTCACCCTTTAAATATTTATAAACATGAATGAGGTCTCCCCTCAGTCTCCTCTTCTGCAAACTAAAGAGACCCAGCTCCCTCAGCCGCTCCTCATAAGGGAGATGCTCCACTCCCTTGACCATCTTTATAGCCCTACGCTGGACTCTCTCCAGCAGTTCCCTGTCCTTCTTGAACTGAGGGGCCCAGAACTGGACACAATATTCCAGATGCGGTCTCACCAGGGCAGAGTAGAGGGGGAGGAGAACCTCTCTCAACCTAAATGTGATGAAATAAAAAAGTGAGGTGTGAAGGGCCCGTTGCAGTGGGAGAAGCCGTGCAGGCAGACTCTGCTTTTTCGAGGAGAGCTGCTGTTGGACAGCTTGTCTGTGAGCAGTGGTGTTGCACAACATCTCCCTGGGGTCTGGAGCCAGCCTGACGTGGCACTTGCTGCCTCCTTTTGCTGCTTTTAACTTAGCTTTGATATTTAAGTCATTTTCTCAGTATTTAACCCGCTAGCAGGGCCTGGTTGCCTCTCTGCAGTAATCCTTTCCCTGTGAGGGTTTGCAGTGCTTGCTCTCCTAGAAGTTGTGGTACAGAGGACCCTCAAAACTGATGGGTGTGGTGAGTCCTCTTGAGCTTTATTTATTTGAATGTTCATGGCCCCTGAATTCTGGTTGCTTTTTGTTACAGAGCTGGCATTTGGAGTTGTTGGTTTGTTGGGATTTTTCATTGTTCTGGCTGTATGGGTGATGTACTGGTGATCAATGTCTCTAGGAAGGGTGTGCACAAATGTGTCTATCCCAACTGATTTTGAGACAGAAATGAAATAGTCGTTTTAGAGATCTCACCTGGCAGAGGGAATGGTGCCGGTGTGAATACGCTGTGTTGCTCTAAGAGGCGAGAGGTTTTTTGCAGCACGCTATTTTGGAAAGCTCCTGTTGGGAAGGAAATCTGCTACCAAGATAAATTTGTCTGTTCAGCATGCCTCTGCTTCCCACTTCTGAAAGCCAATTAATTATGGCTCTAATGGCTATAGTATTGCAGATGCAGGTTAATTTGTACTAATGTGTCCCTGAAGATGGATTTTCTTTCGGTGGCCAGCAGCCAAGTTTCTACTGAAAATCTCTTTTTGTGGCAGTGATGCTAAGTATCACTCCTGGATGCCACAGTCGCAGCATACGATGTCTGCTCAAGATCAGCTGCTTAAACATCCCCTAATTTGCTGCTGTCCATAATGCTGTACTCGAGGAACCGATGTGCACCAGATACTCAGTGGGGCGCTCAGTGACAACCATCCTTATGTGAAAATAAAATCACTTTTTTTTTCCCCAAGGTTATTGTTGATGAGGATGAATTGCAGTCATGTTGTTTTATTCGGAATACAAACACCGGGCATCAGCACAGCCAGATTTCCAGCGCCCTGGTGTATGAGAACAGACGTGGGCTGGATGAGCAGGATTGGGTTTTTTTACCTTGTATTATTTTTGTGAAGTCATTACATCAACAAATAGAAGGAACCGCTGTTCTCTCTGTTAATTATGAAGATAGCTCAGCATCTGTACTCTAAATAACTCCCGGATTAGATGATGTGGTTAACTATTGCGGTTTTTAAGGAGAATTCATTCCTTTAGCTTATCAAAGAGGACAGGAACTGCTTTCGGTTGGAGCGAGGGCCTCAGCAGGGAGGTGGCATCCTCTAGTGGCAGGGAGAGGGGACACCAAGGTGCCAGTCTTGGCTTCAGTAATTAATTTGGGGAGTGTGGAGGGGCAAATAGCTTCTGTCCACCTTTATGGAGGACAGCAGCGATCACTGGTATGGAAGCCGTGGGTGCTCAGTTACGTTTTGCGTGCGTCGTGTGGTGCTTGAGTTGAAGGCACTGAATAGGCCTGAGGTTACCGTGCACTGAGTGTGTCTTGCTCGGTTCAGTAGGGTGTGTAGTGCAACTTCAGCAGGTCTGTAGATGAATGTAAATGTGTTCTTCTGTTGTGCTTTTAAAACATTCTTCATCAAAAAATGATGATTCATTGAACATGGCACTTACCCAGATACCCCTTTCCTACCTGAATTCTTCCTTCAGAAGAGTTTTCTGTAGTTTAAAGATACCGAAGCATCTCATCTTACTGTCATAAATTTAAATGGGTATTGTTTCCCAACATAACTAAATAGTGGGAATGACACATTTAAAGTGGAAATGAAGAGTCCTGACTTTACCAGCAAAGAATCAAGAAACTTTTTCTGAGTGTTTTGGGGTTATTGTCGTATTTCTCTTAGGCATTTTTATTTTAAATTTGAATTTAAGAGAAGGAGGAAGAAACCTCACACTTTAGGGAGCTGGTGAGGAAGGTTTACGGGAAGCTCTTGTGTACGAGGTGGTACAGGAGGCTCTGGGAGCAGCTGTTTTACTCCAGGAGCAGTGATAACCAGCAAAGAGAGAGAATTTTGGCCACTGCTTGGTTAATTCTGTGTCACGCTCCAGAAGCAGCTGCAGGAGACTGACGCACTGATGTTTTTCCAGCTGGCCATCAGAAGAGCAACACTGAAGAAGGCCTTTACCCCCGTCCTTGTGGGAAGCGCTCTGAAGAACAAAGGAGTGCAGCCGCTGCTGGATGCCGTCCTGGAGTACCTGCCCAACCCCTCAGAGGTTGAGAACTACGCCATCCTTAACCAGGGGTGAGGATATTCATGTTCAAAGCTGTGTGTATGTATCAGGAAACGCTACTAACAAAACACACAATCGTTTACCATTTGTATTAAATAAGACCATCATAATTTTGCACAAACTTCAAAACCAAAGAAAACTTCTCTCTCATTTGAGGGTTACTGCTTATGCTGGTGTTTTAACACCCATTAAATGTAAAATTTGAAATAAATATTATCTGGTGAGATGGTTCTTTAAAAAATAATGGTGACCCTTAAAACCATGGCTATAGTAGAGGAGAGAGCACATCTGAAATACGTAACCAATGTTTTATTCTTGGTCGTGTTTGTTGAAGTAGTTGTGCCTTCACATTCAGTTAAGAAGCATGAAACCCAACATTAGAGCCTGTAAATAGTCCGTAACAGTCACAGCTTAGGGGTGGCCATCAGATCTTTTTAATACAGACAGACAGTGTAATCGTAGCAAAACAGAAATGATGCCAATAAATACAGTTTATGACTTCTCCTCCCAGCAGTTACCTGACTCTTCGAGTCCTCGCTGCTGCTGCACCTCTCACTGCCTACTAAGAGACTAAAACTCCTCAGGAGTGTTGTCAGCAGAGTTACTGCAATGTCTCTTTCTTCACTCTAAAGCTGCACTTGCTCCTGAGTTGTGTTTCAGTTTATGACTAATTGCTTTCATGGCAAAACAGTTGGATGATACGAAGGATTAGTGCTATTTGTCATAGTTTTGACCTCCTTTTTGGGATCTGCTGTGGTTTCTCTGAGATACTTTCTGAGCATGTGAGTGCTACATATGTGAGCATCCTTAAGTCTCCACTATAAGCCTGTGATACTGAAAGCCTGTAAGAAACTGGGACTTTCTAAGGTTTCTTATGTTTAGAGGAGGTTGCTGTGTTTGATGCATAACATCAACTCCCTCTCCATCCCTGTTTTTAAGGGAATCTGAGGACAAAAGCAATTGCTGAACTCTACTCGAGACGATTCCCAGCCTTTTATAGGCCTGGCTTTTAAACTGGAGGTAAGTTGTTACTCTTTGCCTTTCTAATGCCACAAAGCCAGTAGAGAAGCAGGGTGTTTCCTGCACAAGTTGGTGTACGTGAGTCCTGTTTGTGCATGTGATGGCTTTTTCACTTGGTCACTGTGTATATGGTAAAGCTAAACGAGAAGTTTCTGGAGAATGGATGCCCAGACCATTACATATCTGACTTTATGCTACCAACATCTGACCTCTGTACAGGAGTACAAAACAGAAGTTGTACTCGTGTGTGTTAACCCTGAAGGAGGACAGAAGGTATCCAGATAAATTATTTGAGATAACAGAACAAGTCCACACAGACAGTACGACCAAAACTTACCTGGAACAGATTTCAAAACCAGTTTCTCTTTAAATTCAAGTTAAATTTGACTTTTCTTAAAATGAGTTGTGTGCCTCAAATACTGCATGATTTTCTTCATTAAAACCTTAACATTTGGGGGTTTTGTGGGTTCATTTCAAATACTTTCAGAGAAAAATCCTGGTTTTGTTTGAAGCTGAAACTGTTAATAAAAGTTTAATTTACGTGTCTACATTTAGTCAGTCAGTGCAGATGTTGCTTTGAATAGTAGTTGTCTTGACTCCCAGAAGGATTTGATCTGATTCCTAATGAATTTTGTTTCCAGGCTGGCCGTTTTGGGCAGTTAACCTATGTTCGAGTTTATCAGGGGATGCTGAAGAAATCTGATTATATCTATAACACCAGGACTGGGAAGAGAGTGCGAGTGCAGAGGCTTGTCCGGATGCACTCAGACAACATGGAGGTGAGCGTGAGGGGTGCA